GCACTCACTGTCAGTCATTCTCAGTAAATAGCTGGAGCTGCTCTTATTCAGTTCTTAAGGTACTCTTTAGAGGTTGGTAATTTTTTATCTTCCAGGTGAAGATGGTGTGACGTATGGTTACACAGTTACTAAAAGGAAGGTCTCTGATTTTAATACCACCACGTCCATCTAACTTCAGAATTTATTCATTCATTTATCACATATGTAGAACACACCTACCAGGCATATTAAGCAACTCTGGACATAAATCCTACCTTCTAGGAGCTTTGATATGGAGGAGTTTTTTATGTTCATATTTGCTCCAAATAATATGTTTTCTACTTTTAAATAATTTTGTGAAATACAGAGTGGAAAACCTTAAAGCTGTTTTTATTGTTGTTTGTCTTTATTGCATTTCCTAGCAGAGTTTAATGTTTTACTCTACATTGTGAAAGCCCCAAGCAAGAAAATAGTAAGCAGCTTTTGCCCGTGGTTTTGATCACATACCCCTTCCAGTCTTTGGAGCATCTCTTGAGATGCTGTTCTGTGGACCGCACTTTGTGAAACCCTGTGCGGGTACTGCTTGTGGTCTGCACAGAGCTTTCTGTCTTCAGCTCTCTGGTGCTATATTATCTCAGCTACCAGGTTTCCTTGCTCTCTCCTCTTTCTTCATTCTAAATTATAAGCTGCTGCCAGATTTATATTGCTAAAGCTTGGCTCTGATTGTTTTACTCTCCTGCTTGTGAGTAAACCTGAATTTCCTTCCTTCTTCATACTAAAATAATTCCAGATGGGCCACAAAAATTTAAGTGTAAAAAAAGAAAAACTACAAAATCAGTGGGAGGAAACAAAACTGAATTAATTTAAAATCAACAAGTGAGAAAATTGCTTCTAAGCAGGATGTTAAACTACAAAGTCATAAATAAAACTTTGGTAAACTGGACTTAAATAAAAATGAAAATAACTTATTGCCAGAAATAATATGTCTAAACACATTATGACAGGATTTATAGTCAATGACTGATTTCCACAATGCAGGGTGCACTCAAATCTATAATCAGAAGACAAGCTATCAGCCCATGGAAAAATGGCCAGATGATATGAACAGGAATTTCACTGACAGAGAAATACAAACATAGGTCACTAAAATGCGAAAGATGCTAAGCTTCACTGAAAATGTTAAAGATAGAGAAAAATAGAGATAGAATTTTTTTTAAAAATCTGTCATTGGTTTAAAATAATGTATATAAATTGTGGGTGTGTGAAGAAACAAATACAAAACTTCCTCATATCCTGTTGGTGGGAGTGTAAATTTGACAGAACGATTTGACAATGTCTGTCAGAACCAAAAGAGACACATATTTATTTCTCCAGCAG